ACCTGAAAATTAGGCAAATAGTAAAATCGGCTAAAAACGGCTAACTTTTTTTTACAAACCGGCTAACAAATCGGCTGCCGGCTAGATCGAATTTTCTCCGGCTAGTTGCTATCAAAACCGGCTAAATCTAGCCGGAAAACGGCTAAAATGGCAACGCTGGTAACCATACGAGATGGGTATGGATGGATCATCGATGGACACTTCAAGCTAATTCATGTGGTAAATTTGGAACGATACGAACTGGCAACAAATCGGCTCGAGTGGGCAATAACTACCTTAAATGAAACAACAGCATCTACAGAGGTACTACTATTCCAGCGTTTAAACGAACTAAGAGGCCACGAGACGGCTAGATTAAAACGATCTATTAACTGGCTTGGAAATGGATTGCTGGCTCACCTGATGCTACGGACTGGGATGAGGTCCTCCGAAACGAAAATTCCCTTAATAAAAATAACGAGCAGCAGTACAAGGTGAATGATGAAATTTTTAAGAAAACTAATCAGTTATTGCAGAGGCTCAATGGCATTGTGGTCGCCACCAATGATGTAATCAACAAGAGGAACTTGGACAGGATTTCTCAAGAAGTCTAGCATAAAATCTTTATCCTGAATGAAGACGTCAACGAAATGATCCGTGCTTGTCAGATGGCAGGAGTCGTCAACACCAATCTTCTGAGTATAGAGGAAGTTACCCAGCTTGTCAGTGAGATCGACGTTCTTCCATACAGCAACGCCATCGAAGCCATTGAATATAGCAAACCATCGATCTACACCAACAACACACTCCTCTTATACGTGTTGTCCCTACCAAAGGTCACAGAAGCTAGATTTAATCACCTGATCGCAAGAGCTAACATACAGAACGGCGACCGAGTGGAATTGGCATATCAAACAATCCTGACCAATAAACATCAGACATTCGGCATCAAGGAACACTGCTTGCAATTATCTGCTACCATGATCTGCGAAATCACTCGACCTGCTACCAGAATCTAGTTGCCTTACTCGTCTTCTCAAGGGAGGACAAAAAGGTTGTACTTACGCCACCTGTAACGATTCCACTGTTGAAATCATCAAGGATGATACCATTTTCCCTGACAATTTTATAGGGATTGTAAAATCAGGTAACAATTCAAATACACTGAATGGTTCTTATATCCTCCAGATGGACAATGAGACCGTAGCAATCAATGGCAAAAACTATTCGAGTACTAGTAGATCAGGAGTACAGGTGCTTCCACCAATCTTGGC